AATACTCGGTTACCATCGTAGAAACAAACTGTAAAAGAGTCCTTTCACCTGTTGTTGTTACGAGCGACAGCAAACGAGTACGGTCACAACGGTCGAGATGAGTGAGGGAACGCTCTCTGTTTGTAATCGGTTTGGATGACCTCTATGTCAGTTCCTTGAGAGTTGCCATAATTCCAGAAGGCCGTCATCTATGGCCTTCGGTGCAAGTTTCTTCCAAGTAAACTCCTTCAGGACATTCGCCAGTTGGAGTACATCCATGGTCTTCTCATCATTAATTATCCATGCCATTTCCCGCAAGCCTCCCGGTAGGCTCTCCACGAAACGATCAGGCAGTAATTGCGAACGCGAGGCATCATCCAAGGTTGGGAGAGCTCGATTCAACAAGGAGTGCAGGGCGACGGTATTCGACATAGGGTAGACGCCAATTCCGAAGTGCATCGTCCTGAAGCTCTGCAAGGCCTCCTGGCGATCGGCCGGGTGTCAAAGCCGCAATCAGGACATACTTTGCGGCGGCCTATTCCATCTTTTCTGAGTCTCTTCGCATCGCATTCAAAACCGTCCACGCCCGGCCCTCGAGAGGTGCTCGGAGGGCTGTCAACTTAATCCGGTCCGACCGTATCCCCGCCAGCTCCGTGACGTCCTCAAACTCCCTCAGGAAGGATCGCCCGTCTCCATACTCGGAGACTTCAGGCCATGCAACCTTCAAATTGATCCTGGCGACGACACCGGTTCTTATAATTCGAGAAGGCGGTGCCCGATCGGGGAAAGTTGTTTTAACGAATAATGGTCAGGTTATCGGTAAACTGTCATTCATACAACAAAATATCTCATTTGGAACGAATCTGCAAAATTCCCACAGCAAACGGGATAGTTGGTTGCACGATTCACTATTAGACGCGCATTTGTGTAGGTACCACACTGAACACCAGCAATTCACTCTAACAGGTCTTCTTCGTTTTTGATCGTTGGAAAAGACTGCCAATGGCATCTTGTTGCCAATTATTCACAAGTGAGCAGAATCTCACAACACGGCGATCAGTCGGTGCATACACCGATATGATGAATAAGCAACGACACTTCGTTCTGTAGTTGCCAATCCGTGCTGAACCGTTAAGACGTACAGCGCACAGTCAGCTACTGACTGGGAACCAGTCAAGAAACGAGCGCTCAGCCTTGGAACTTAGCGCAATCCCGACATCAGCAACATCGCGAGCTTCGGATGCCGAATCTCCTGACACACGAAGGGTGATCAAGAGAACGCAGGCAGATGACTGAAGCAGGATCTCATATGCGTGGTTCGGAGACACAGCATATATCTAAATTAAAAGTTTCAAGGGTACTAGAAAAGGCAGGTTGTTGACCAATCAGATAATGTGCGAAACTTGAAGGCGTCTAAGTGAAAAGGGGATTTTGGCTTTAGAAATCCTATAACCTCTAATTGTTTGGCCTCACTGGTAAAACACTGTGTGATATTCGATGGATAGCGTTAACAGGAGGCACTTGGGATTATTGGAGATTGAGAGGAAGAACAGACGGGATTGAGGTTTTTCCAAATGATTGTCCAAGACTTTAGGGCTCCATATACTTCACGGTAGACCACACCAACGAAAGGTTTTCTATTCGGGAACCTTAACAAGAGCTTTGGACTCAAAAGTCTGACCCTTAACGTCATTTTGCACAAGTCTGGTGGGGAAACCGGATAACAAATGCTGAGGTTATGCGTAGAGTTTTAGATAATCAAGGTCATCTACTGGAACCAGTTGTCGACCTACTTAGATCACGGTGGTTAGGACATGGGCTGCGCATGCCACCTAATAGGTGGTCACAGCGAGAGATGTTTACCGAGGTAAGTGTCGGATGTAAAAAGGTTAAGAGCGGTCAAACTAAGACATGGTATGTTCTTATGAAAACCCTAAACAAGTCACTGGGTCACATAGGTCCCGTTAGGCTCCCTGGATGTGGAGCCCGAGATCATGGTCACCGGTGGTTAGTGATGCTGAGTGATATGATTGAGTGTCGCAAACAGTGGTGCGCGGGAATTCACTTATTGTTCTTATTCCTTCGAATTTCAGGCGATGGTCAATCCCGTTCAGTTGATCAGTGTGGAGTAGGTATTGTACTAGATAATAGAGCAAAATCCTCACTTGTTGATCTGATTCCCATCAACAGTCGTCTATGTGAGATACAGCTTCAGGAATCAAGCAGTGTCCGGAAGGGTAGAAACACTCAAAGGTAATTGTTTATTATCTCAACATATCGGCCAGTCAACAGCAGTCCCAATGCATCAAAGGGGAACATTTTTGACAAGTTCATCAAATTTATTTGGCTGAGGTTGCAAGTAATTTTACCGCGAAGGTTAAACTGAGCGCAGGGAAAGTTTGGCAAGGCGATCGTACCGCTCCACTCTGCCAGCAAACAAACATCGGCGATCAACTTCTTGAGTTCTCCGAAGACTAACATCTGTACCTGTCCAGGATAAACATTCATCATAGATCTAGACGGACGTCGTTCTTCAACGGGTTAGCTGGCTCAAATCGATCACACCTCAGAAACCTACTGTTGGCTGGGCTGAGTACAACAATGCAAGTTTTATTGAGTCACTAGCATTGTTTTCGGTCAAGCATTAGTTTAGGTGCGATTTGGGCTTCGACTGCTTGGTCGGCAACAAAACCGGCAAACTCCATGAGGCCATCATTGCTTGTCTGATCCAGCCGTTTTGCACGCTATGGGGCAGAGCTAAGGCACAAACTGAGAGCGCTGCAACGTGGTGGTGTAGATGAACAGTGGAATCACATAGGACGTACAGTGTATTTGGTAGCGAAATTCGCTTAAGCATCCGATCCCGATATCAGTGCGAGGACCTACCACGAAGCGATAGCGCTGAAGGAGAAAAAATGAAAGATCGCGACGAGGACGGATCCAAATAGGGGTAGGTTGTGTCTGCAACCTCAGCTCAACACTTGACATTTCGCAACTACTAATACTGAGTTAGTGCTCTCGCCAAATTTATCCGATTTCGGATACTCTCGGGTGTACAACAGAAACATTTTCCTTCGACTGACCGATTGTTATTCTTTGCTGTTAGCGGGATCAACTGAAATGTAAGACCTTAGGTATCGGACGCATTTTCGTCATGCCTCCCCTTAATCATCATCCAGATTATCTATTTCTCTAAACGGTATTATTAATAGCATCACTTTGTTAGTAACTTTTTCAGGGTAATCTACTCTAATTTATCGTAAAATAATTCGACCTCATTTTTCAAGGGATCTGTTGAACACATATACTGTGATCGTGAACGTTAAACGGTGAGGTACGTATTACTTGTGAAGTCGTGGAACAGAATTTATAAATTTCTGGACCTAGAAAAGCACCGAGGGCAAGGGCAAGCAGAATCAGAGAAATATTCGAATTCCGAGTCGGTATACGAATGTTATCCACGGATATGTTCAAACAAGTTGTTACAAAAATATCAGGACAGATTATCTAACCTCTGTAAACAACAACCGGCCCCTCGGTATATTGTCTTCTGTTTAGTGCAAGATATATCAGCTCAGAAGACAAATAAGGAAAAAGTGAGATCCAGCAACCGAAAGATGCACTACAGTTTTGGGTGTCGTAGTTCAATGCTACCGAACTCAGATGTGTTTCAATGAGATCACCAGTTGTTGGATGTCAGAAAAGGGACAAATTACCGAAGTTGACCTCGTCGATGCTCTACGTACACCAGTGAACCTGTGGTACGACAATGTAGTTATCAAAACACGTCAGAGAGCAAAAACCCAAGTGGATTAGACACGCGGAAAGAGGGGTTAGGTGAAATTCAATTTGTATGTGTTTCGTCCAGACTGGGGCACATGATGGACACTAACTCGGCTTTCAACACCATCTATCGGGTCCCACAACATAAATATCAGGTTGTTGGATTGAAGGTGTTAGCAACAGCCGTGACAATGACCATTCACTTGTTGAAGCCAGAAATGTAACCTTATGCTATTTTCACACATAGAAGCGATTGAAACGGTTTGAGGATGAAACAAACGATTAAATATATTTGCTAACGATTCATATTCTGATTACAATAATCGGTTTACTCTGTCATGTGAAGTTACCGTTGGTATCATTAGAGGAAGCTTTGTATTACACATGCAGAAGCGAGAGCTTCAGACTACCTCCTCGAAAACCTTATTGGGAAAGACTTACCGTCGGGGATTTGAACCAATTCACCAAACACGAACTCACGTCCATCAGATGAAGAAGAAAGCTGATATCGTCTGCCGAGGGCAAACTCCATCGTTTCTGTTTGCTCATCTAAATAGGGAAAAGCAGTGAAAAGCAATTAATATTACGCGTCCGGTTAATTGTTGGATAATTACCTAAAACTCCTCAATGAGTTCATCACTCCTAAACACCAGGAATACATGGAAAAAACCGAACGATGCTGTAGAAAGTCTGATAAAATTAGATCAAATAAAATGGAACACAATCTGAATGTGTAAATTTGGAACTTATTCACTTTATCTTCGTGTACACGTGAAATTGCATGACTCACCGCAGTGTGGTTTTATTCTACACTGGAAATCCCGCTATGAATATTAGAACAAACTGTTTCGAAGCGAAACAATGCGGCAGAATATTCATTGAAAAATCACAGAAAATGACATTGTGGTTTGTCGTGCAGCGGACGGATAACGAAAAACGTCAAAAAGTGTACGGTGAAACAAACAAAATGTGTTCTTCTCGTAATTCAATTTCACTTTTTGACCCTTTTTTACTCTGCCCTATCTCCACCCCCCCTCCATGTTCTGTTATTCTCTTTGCTGCGTTGGCACCAAGCGTGCTCACACGCCGGTGTTAAACGTATATCTATATTTCGGTCCTTTTCATAATTTCTGTAGACCCGATTTCTCTGAGTAATGGATTTGAGGAATGAGTGAAACGTGAAACATCATTTTCCCTTCCATTTTCCAGTTTATCAATGCAAAACATATATGGGCAGAATCGATATTCGCTAAATATGAAACCCGCCATCCCTGCTAGATGAATTAGACCGACTGACCCATGGTTTGCTGGACGGTTGTTACCCTCTTACATTCGTTCACAAGTACAGAAATCTGATCAACCCCAGGCCCGTCCCGTTACTAACTATGAAGTACGTCCGCATCGAACTACTTTTAAAGGGGATAATGTGACAACCAATATATCTCGTCATTTAACATATGCCGTGAAAAGGACGTTAAATACCGCTGGAATAACGATTCTCTAGGGAACATTTCGTTGTATCACTCGCACGATCCTGGATCGCGAGGATGTAACTGCTACCTCCAAGTGTACCTATTCGCTACAATGTACTTGTGGTCAGAGATACATCGGAAATACAGAACCGCAATAATGCATTTAAAAATTGTTTG